CAAGCCAAAAACAATAAAGCACCTGGACTAGATCAAATCCCTGCTGAGCTACTTAAACTTTTGGATGAGGAAAGCATTGCCTACTTAACCACTCTCTTTAACAAAATTTACAACGAAGGAAAAATACCAGTTGATTGGTTAGAGTCACAGTTTATAACAGTACCAAAGAAAAGCAGGCCCATCAAATGCAGCGATTTTAGACTAATCAGTTAGAGGAGTCACACACTGAAGATACTCTTACGAATTATACAAAACTGAGTATTCCTTCTATGCGAAAGTAGGATGGGTAATAAGCAATTTGGATTTAGAAACGGTCTAGGAACTAGAAAGGAACTATTCTGTATGCGCGTTCTATTACAAAAACGTTGTGAATTCCGAAAGAATGTTTATGTTTGTTTTATCGACTTCGGGAAGGCGTTCGACAGAGTACAACACGATACACTTTTCGATTGCCTACGGGCAGCAGGACTTTACCACTATGATATAAGACTGCTGAAATACTTATATTACAATCAAGTAGCCTCTATCCAAATTGGAGGCAGTCAGTTGTGTTTTGTCACTCAATCTTTTTAATCTGTACTCTAAAGAAATCTTTAGGGAGGCTTTGGATGACAGATAAGAGGGAGTAAGACTAGGTGGAGAAGTAATCAACAATATTAGATACACTGACGATATAGCCATTCTTGCAGAAAATTTACAAGATCTCCAAACATTATTAAATCTAGTCAGTGAATCAAGTTATCGGAGAGGCCTTAAAATCAACATTTCAAAGACAATGTGAATTGCAGTTGGAAAGATCAATATAGATCAAGGTCTGATTTCTCTTAATGTAGAAGCTGGTTAATGTAGAAGTTGCAGCTGGTTAAATGTAAATTGTGACTCTGATGAAGAGATAATAACCAGGATCAAAATATCACGTAAGGCTTTTATGACCTGGAAACCAGTTTTATGCAACAGAAACCTGTCGATGAATATTCGTTAGAAGGTCCTGAAATGTTATGTGTGATCCATCCTATTGTATGGTTGTGAGACATGGACGTTAAAAACCACAATGCTAAACAAGTTAGAATCATTCGAATTGTGGTGCTATAGACGAATCCTAAAGATATCGTGGGTTTCGCACACTTCCAATGAAGATGTTCTTCAAATTATTAATTCGGAACGTCTGCTCATAAACACCATAAAGAGGAGAAAAACAGAATACTTCGGCCATATAATTAGAGGACCTAAATACCATCTACTTCGCCTTATAATACAAGAAAAAGTGGAAGCAAAGAGATGGATTGGTCGAAAGAAACTTTCATGGCTGTGTAATATTAGACAATGGTGTGGTTCCACAGTGGAAGAATTATTTCGCGCAGCAGCCGACCGAGAAAGGTTTCAGGAAATTGTAAACATGATGACGGCCAAAGTCTGAATACGGACACGGCACCCAAAGAAGAAGAATGTTAGTCAATGATATCACCATGCAAATCTAGTTAAATCGCATTACATCGTCAACTAAGTACTATCTAAATCATTAATTGTAAGTTATAAATATTATATATTTACTTATATTCTGACCGTACCCCTAAGATGAGATCTTGAGATGGCGAAACTGGCTGATAGGGCAAAATGTCTACTCTAGATTAAGATGACCCACCGTTCACCATAGCAGCAAAGAAGTAGCTTACAGAAATATGTAAAGAAATAGAAAACTTACAGAAATAAACACGACGACAAATTTATCTGCAAGAAAATAAAGGAACTTACTGAAAATAGAAATAACAGACAGTGTAGCGGTGCATAAATGATAGCGGGAAATGGGCTTAGAAAAATTTGGTTTCGGGAACGATATGGTTACCTGAGAGGTCATAAAGAAAACAAAAACCATGGTGATCAGTAAGAGAGGCAAAGTCATTACATGGATCCTGATAAAAAATGAAGATATTGAGCAAGTGGACAAAATGAAATACTTAGAAGTCTGGATTACGGAAGATCTGAATCTGAAGTCAGATATTCGCTCAAGAATAGAACTTAGCCTTTTTGAAGATGGGGATATTTCTGAGTAACCAAAGACTTAATCTGCAAATCCGATATCAGATGGTAACATTTTATATCCACTATAGTCTTTTTTATGGTGTCAAAGCTTGAACTGTTAATGTTGACTTATGGGAGAACTGGAAGCTTCTGAGATGTGGCTTTTTAGGAGAATTTTGAAGATACAATGGATCGATAATATTACGAACGAAATGGTGTTGCACAGAATGGAAAGAGATAGAGAACTTTTGACCACCATTAAAAGGCGAAAGACAGCATATTTTGGCACATCCTTTGAAATGATAAGTACAAGTTGTTGCAGCTGATTATAAAGGGTAAAATCGAAGTAAAAAGGGGTCCCAGTAGACGACAAATATCCTGGCTGAAAAACATTCGAGACTGGACCGGGTTAAACATACAGACGCTCTTAACAAAAGCAGAAGGTAGAGACAAATTTAAAATAGTTATAGCTAACCTTCATTAGTGGAGACGGCACTAGAAGAAAAAGAAGGTAGAGGATGTCACTTCAGTTAGAGAAAGGTGGACCAGCTGGAGTCATTTACAAATGCTCCCATAATGGCTGGTCAAATGAAGATCTCTTGATGTAGTGGCTCACACATTTCAAAAAAGTACGTAAAACTAACAGAAGAAGATCCCGTTTTATTGATTATAGACAATCACGGGAGCCATATCTCCCTTGATAGTTATGATTATTGTAGATCTAATCATACATATGTTGTCTCAATATCACCTTACACATCACATAAACTAAAACCTTTGGACCTGTCGTTTTATAGCCTCCTGAATAAAACATTCAACATACAGTGTGATAGGTTCTTAAGAGAAAAAAGATTCAGAAGATTTCTGTGTATGCCACAGCATCTATATTTAATGAAGCTTACTTAAATATCGCAATGATGGATAAAGGAGTTTTAGAGTTTAGTGCTGCAGATATCTTACTGTACAGCCCTAAAAAATTTACTGATATTACTGTATAAGACAATAAAACTCAAGTCATCGTTAACTGTGAAAATATTGATGAAGCAGCACTTGGTGCAACTCTTCATGAACACAATCATAATGTCATTGGGAACTTAACAGCGTTAACGAGATTTGTGTCAAAACTTGTCGGATTTTAAAACCTAATCCAAAAGATACGGTACACAAATTTGGAATCAAGACAAGAACTAGCTTAGATTTAAGTGAGATTTATGAAAATTCATTATCTCTTAGTTCGAAAACGAATGTTGTACCAAATTCGTTTCCAAAATCCACTAAGAGACTGTCTCATTTCAAAGACATTTTGGAATTTGTATCACCTCTTCTAAAATCATTTAATGATGATAACCAAATCCAAAAAATTCCAGAAAACAACACTCGGTAATTATGCCTGCTGAGTAGGTACCCCTATGAAAATGGTTTTAGAAGAACCAGAGAAAAAAAATTAGGGACTTTAAAGCCAAGCGTAGTCTAGAAAAAATTATACAGGATACAAAAGTCGTCCCAAATTTTAATCTCAAAATGTTAAAGAGTGAAAAAAGTAAACAATTAAAAATTGAAAATAAATCCCAAATAAAATTTGATGCAATGAAACGCAATGCTGCAAATAAAGAAAGAAGGTGTCTAAGGCTAATTAATTTTGAAAAATCGACTTCCAAAGAAGATAAAGATAAATCAAAAATATGTGATGACAAGGAATTTAATGACAGTTTTGAATTATTTTCCGCAAACACTGAAATGTGTTTGGTTTGTGGTGAGTTTGGTGTAAAAGCTGAACTATGATATAGATGTACATTTTTAAGACGATGAGCTCACGCTGAGTACAGTAGGTATTGTTGTCCTGAAAACTCTCAGTGTGACTTTTGTTCCATAAACTAATTCTTTGTTGTAGAAACAACTTTTGATTTAAAATATATCTGCTTATCTTCTTTTCGTTCGAGTATTTAATGTTTTCGTATATAAATTACCCCGGTGATCGGGGAAAGACTGACACCCTGCTAAAGTTAGCGAAATATTGTTTTAAAATACTTAAATCACATTATTTTATCAATATTACATACCCAATGGATGCGATGGATACATACCCAACTAATATATAATAAATCTAAAAATTTAAATTGTCTCAAGGTGTCGGGATTCCCTCAGTCTACCCTATAGAGTAGAAAGTATAAAAAAATGTAGATATAAATACTGTTTTAATCAACTTTCTTAGTATGCTTGATAATAAAAAGTAAGAGAGTGTTCCAAGAAAGTGTACATGGTGATACATAACTATTAAGACATAGACTAAGGACTAACTTGTTCCTGTTGCTGCTGCGTCAACCTACTTCAAGTAAACTATACAAGTTATCCGGAATAGAAACTTGGAGTGATTTATTCCGGTTAACCACCCCAATTGTTAGTGCGAAATGTCCTTGATTTGCCTAATCCAGGAAATAAATAGGTTTTGTCCGCCATCCACACCATATGGGTCTCGAGCGAATACTAAATTTTTTTATGCGTGTACTCAAATCATATTTCGTATTTCCTCATTGTAAAATAATTGTTTCAATTCAATCGAAATTCAATTGGAGAAAACGTAATGGTAGTCATAAAAATGCTACAATTCACTAGACTTTCACAGTAAAAAAATATTCATCCAAAAGATTTACCAACACAAAAAAAAAACAGAAAAGCTGTCAAATTTGATTCGTTATTTTGGTCCAAACAATTGGCCTTAAAAATACACCAAGAACGCAGAAATGCAGAAAGAATATGTGAGACAATGTGAGAGAGATAAAAGCGAAGCTAATGTAAATAAGAAACGATATATACCAACTTGCAATGTAAAATAATTGCAAATTTTTCACTTATTGTTTTTGTATCAAATCGTTTACTAAATTATTTGATGAGTGAGGAAACTGTTTTGTGTTATTCTATGGCTTTTAAAACCATGTTTTGCACATTTTGAGATTGTTTACCTAATCTAAAATATTTTAAATTTAAGTAGTAGGTGCATTTGTATTAGGCATAGTTGTTGTAATATCGACATCTGTTGTAGTTTCTTCCGTGCTGAATTCTTCACCGTCATTTTCGGTGGTTATATCTACTTCGCCGACAATTTCGTCATTTTCTGAATTGAGTTGTTCAGTGTTAAGCGGTAACTCAGACTTATATTGTTCACTTGGGCCGGGAAATCTGGAACTGTAGGGAAGTAAATCTATTGCTTGTACATGAGCTCGTACCGATACCCCTGGAGGTACTGAAAGGTATGTGTCCCCAACATTGGTCAAGACAGCACCTTGACATCTGGGGCAATTTTTGTTTGGAGCTCCTATGGTTATTACTGGACCTGTGGATCCGGTATTGCCATGATAGGGTGGTTTTGGTCGATTGGTTTCACTACCGAATAAGCCAAAATCATCGTCTTCTGTTGAAAATGAGCTTTGAGGTCTACCCGATGGTCTATATGAACCTGATAACAAGAAACAAATACAAGTTTTAAATCGACTTATTTGGTAATTTTTTTTTATTCTACCGTTTATTCTCGATACATACACGTATGGGGTGTTTAGACTGCGTTGTAGAGGTAGTAACTTTTGTTTTTTAAGCAATCGCACCAAGAATCATAAACTGGATGGGACTTTAAACAACTGATCCTTACAAGGCAGCATCGAGCAATAAGACAAAAGAGGGAATCTAATCCTTATGAAAAGGAGACCAAAAAAGTGGCCTCTGATGGCGGACATATCCGGAAATGCGAATGCGCCAAATTTAAATTTTCCGACACTTATCAACAGTAGCTATATAATATTTCGCAGATTGTGTCTTAGACGAGAAAGTTTTAATTAATTATTAATGATAATAGTCTAAAATGCGACACAATTGTTAAAAAACTTCAATATAAATAAGATTTCATGTGACATTTGGGACAAACAATAACATAACCCAACTAAATTTGATGTCAAACAAGGAGAGAGACTCTCTTTCCTTGTTTAATGTGGCCTCTAAAGATCACACTTCCTGTCTAACAATATGTTTGCCCCCACTACCTTTACATTCCCTCTATTGTCTTTTTGCTCGATGCAAGGCAGTCAACTCCCACTTATGTGAAACAAGAACATCAAAATATACAATATTACCTACCTAGCTATCTGAGCTGGGAATATCAAATACACAGTTTTTGGTTAACTAATAGCCAAGTAACAGGGTCAATCACTACAAATACCTTGTTACCAAAATACACAGTCAATGGGACGTCTAAGACGACATCAAATACCACATAGGGAAGGCAAGATAATCATTTTTAAATATGAATTCTATCTACATAACAATCATAACTAATGATTCACCAGGTAAAATTAAAATCTCCATCTCCAGATGTTATGTTGTTTACCTTGTTTTGATTTTTCATTAAACCTTTTGACTCCTCTTTAAAAAAGCTTGAAGCGTTCAAGGTGTGGTGCTATAGCGAATTTCATGGGTGGACCAGATGTCTAATGTTAAGGTTGTATATAGAATGGGAAAGAAATATAAGATCGTTCGTACAATCTAAGAACGCAGAATATCTGGGTCATATTATGAGAACTAAGTAGAGATATGGCTTGTTGCAACTTCTCCTTAAGTACAAAATGTATAAAAAAGAGGACCAAAGAGAAAGATTCTTGGCTGCAGAACCTGCAAAAATGGTTTAACAGGTCTAAAAGCAAATTATTTCGAATAATTGCTAGCTAAATAAGAATAGCCATGTTGATCACCAACATTTGTAATGTCATAGTAAGAAGATTAACATATATGTATAATATATAAAATCAAATACGGATTAATTAATTAATTTCCTAAAAAATAAATGGTAGTTTGACTAAATTCGATAAAGATTATCTACTACTTTACTAATATAAAAAAAATTGTGAACTCCTAACATACCTGCGGGTCTTGTAGAGGAAGGTCTTGTACTTGGTTTTCCAAACCTATCTCCTTTGGAGCCATAATCTTCTTCAGAACCTTCACCAGATTTACCATCCTCAGGAGGAATGTATTCATTACTAGGTTTTGAAGCTCCATCTTCCTTTGAACCACTACTATCTTCTTTTGATATCCCATTACCAAAAGATCCATCAGAAGGTATAAAAGGTTTATTTGTTGTAGTAGTAGGTTTTAATTTACTAGAACCTCCTTTTCCTGCTCCCTCGTTTTTTCCTCCGCCATCACCAAAAAGATCACCAAAGTCTGTATCATAACCATCTGAGCCATCCTCGTCATAAGGAGACTTCGACGGTTTTCCAGCTCCTGCAGTAGAAGGTTTACTACCTGAAGGTTTTTTTCGTCCAAATTCAAAGTCACTACCAGAATCGTCAAAACCTGGTAATTTTCCAAAATCACTATCTCCGTCTTTGACTCCATCATCTTGCTCTGCTTGTCCAGAATCTTTTGAAATAGGAGGACGACCACCAGGCCTACCGCCAGGTCTACCAGGTTTTACGTGACCACTAGCAGCAGTATCGAAGACGTCTTTGTCGTTGTAATCGTAAAAATCTGGGGGAATTATATCTGGGCGATTGAAGGGAAACACTGTTGGTAAATGTGGTCCTTTAACGGTTTTCAGAACTCTGTATCCAGTCTCTGGTCCTGCTATATAATGGACTGAATGTTGGACCCCTTTGTCATCAAGATATGTATAGGACCCACGTACGTGACCTGTAGCATCGCTGGTTTCAGTCCGTCTTTGATCAGGACCGGCTGATACAAATCTAAATAAAAATTTAGTATAATATTTATTATATTTTAAAACAATCGATAGATTGTAAATAATATAAAACTATGCATACCAGTATATATATTTAAAGTTTTACTCTATATTTCATACAAAGAGCATTAAACAATTAACGTAAATTAGATAGCTTGACTGACATCTCTAACTTTCATGATCCAGTAAGCCACATAAACAAAAAATTAATGAAATCTCCATCAATAAACCCTACAGATACAGCTAAACGCTTATTAAGACCTGTCGAGGTGAGTACTTGGACAATCATAGCAGGAAAATATTTGGGGTAGAGAGAGATCAGTAAGACAATATTTTCTCTGATACGATTGTATAAGAAGATTAAGCAATAATAGATTAGTGCGATTAGTAATAGTAAAAAAATTTAAAGTCGTTTACCACTTGGGATTCTCGGGATTCAGAAAGACCACCACAAAGTCTTAAATATATATACATTACAAGATATGACAGAAAAAAAAGTGAATGAAAAAGACTAGCAATACATTTTTAAAGAAAATTACAACAAAATGAGAATCATTCTAGTCAATAATATTATCATTAATATCATACTTGTAGCTTCCATCAAGTCCTCTTTGAATTGACGTTCTTCCTCTTGGTATCGGTCTTCCCCTTCCTCTGAAATATAGCGGACCATAAGCTTTTGGATTTGAGTCTGGGAACGGAGTCTTAACGTGGAACCCTGTGTTTTTACCAGCAATATATTCTACATTGTGTCTCTCTCCTACGTCATCTGTATAGGAATACCTGCCGGTTACATCTCCCACTCTACAATAAAATTTATTAAATTACAAAGAGTTCTTTTTGGTAGTTAGGACAATCACTTACCTATTCGCATTTTCATCTCTGTTATAAGTTCTGGTTCTAAAGGAGAAACTATAACTTGGATCTTCGTAGGGATCAAAATAAGGATCGTAACGGGAACCTACTGGTCTTGGTCCAGCTTGACTTAAATCATACTTTCGGACGACATTTTTACCTCTGGGTCTGAAACCTCTTGGGCCAGCTGTATAAATGGTACTATCTATTGCACCTATAAAAAAGTTTTTAAATAGTAAATCAGATAGCTAATCGGAACCACAAATCACCATTGGAAGCATCTGTTTTACAGTAGGTAATCTCAGAAAAATATTTATAAAAGACAAAATTATCTAGGGGCCACATCTGTAGAAATGAATGAAAAATAAGTAGATATATAATAAAACGATATCGTAAAAAGATCGTGAAGAGCACTCTGCTATGTAACCCATTTAAAATATAATTCAAATAGGAAACAAGTTTACAGAAAAATTAGCGCAACTGAAGATGGTACAGCAATAACATCTTAAACCGATTACTTTGTAGAATTTAATAAAGAGATTGTCAAAATGTAAATTAAAAAACAGTTCGAATTCTTTTGGTATATAGGAAATTCGTATCAAAAATAATAAGAAACTTATGGAAGTTAAATTGTCAAATTTATATTCATCATCATGCCTTCATTAGGGCCTTCATAGGCCTCCCTTAAACTCCTCTATGCTTTACTATTTTGTGCTCTTTGTTGCCATTTTTTGGTGATACACCGGTGATACCGGTTATGACCGGTAATACGCATTGGTTAAATACTTTTCTGTTGAGATTGGCATGTTGGCCTTAAATGTGTCTTGCAGTTTTCCAAAGCCTGCCCATGCTAAAGTAATTCGTCTTTGCATTTCGCATGTTTGCTTATCCCTGCTGATAACAGCAGGGGTAAAGCTTTAGCAGAGATTTATATTACAATAGAAAAAATAACTTACCGGTTTTGGGGTTTCTTCCTCCAAACTCCCCCTTTACTACGTTATTTCTGTTAGCTTGTGCATAATGGTATGAATCAGGATTATTGTAACCAAATTCATAGGCGCCATCTGTATGTAAAACGTTATAATCATCATCTCCAGCTGATGTTTCGTTTGTTATTAAAACCACCAAAACGAAGAATATGCTAATCTAAGAAAAAATTATTAAAAAAAATTTTAAAAATGATTTAAAATTGTATACTACACATAAATATAAAAAAGGAAATTAAACTATTAAATATAAAGTATATTTATGAAAAAATATCATTATTAACACTACATTAGTCTGGTGGTCTAATAGACCCAGGTAGTTCAAATATCTAAGCGCCATTTAAGCGGACTCCACACATGGGGGCCAACGTTGGCCCCAACAACGTTCGTGCAAGGTGTGTACTGACAAAACTGTGTTGGAGCCAATGTTGGCGCCAACATTTCTATGACTTGCTCCAACGTTCGGAGTTTTCCGTTGGATGCGTACACATCAAAGGGATTGGCGTCAAGGCTGCCAGGTTTAGGGATTTATCCCGAATCTAGGGATATTTCAGTATAAAAGGGACAAAGGGATTTTTTTTTGATATTTATTGTAAAATCTAGGGATTTTTGACCAACTCAAATATTTACCTACATAGGCCTATTATAATAACATTTTCTTTAATTCTATAAAACCACTGGTTTTATACCTGATCGGTCAGATAGCTCAGCGGGCTGTGCGGCTGCCTCTCATTCGCTTCACTGTCGAATGGTTTAGTGGATGTGGGATCGAGCCCAAGCTCGGTGTACAGAAAACAAAAAGTCTAACGCAGCAGTTTAAAATTCTAGATGAATCTGCGGCTTAGACTAGGATATGCTGGGATCTGATCGGCCTATGGTGGAGCAGTACGGCAAGAGATAAGGGCTTGCGGCTTGGTGATACTCCTCCATAGATCCCTACCGGACAGGCGTAACGCCTAAAAAACCGGATATATATATATATATATATATATATATATATATATATATATAAAACCACTTCGTATGACCGGTATGAAAGAAGCGATCTGTCATTACAAATAATTAAACTACTAGTAAACTACTTAAGGATTCTATTATCAGATGTCGCTAAATGTCCTCGTTATTGGAATTTTTATTTTATGCTACCAAATAGATTTCTGCCAAAAATAGATTCCTATATATTATCATAAAGGAGAAGCAAATTCTGGAGCAGGAATTAGGGGAGTTACAAAAATCTTAGGTTTTATAAAATAATTAGGGGATTTACAGTAGGAATCGGGTGAATCCCAGGATTCGTGGAAATATATCAATAAAATTCTATGCTTCACCGTCTAATTTCTCTTCAAGTTGTATTTTGTATTAATTTTATCAAGTAAATAATACTTAATAATATATTAAATGTAATATTCAAAGCCATAAATAAGTACGTTATTCCATTTTTGTTAAATTTATTTAAATCATCGCTATTGTACCGTTTAAAAATGTAATGTTTTTGAAATAAAGATATAAAACGAACAATTATTTTTTTAGGTTTAGTTTATAGGAAATGCAGGGCTACTCAAAACTCTAAAAAAATACAGGGTGTCCCATTTGAAATATTGAAGATGCATTTTATTGGGCACTCCCTGTATACAAAATTTGGTCTGTTGCTACATTGTTGGTAGGTACAGATAAAATAATACAACTTTTATTTAAAACTTTTTTTTGTATTCCCGAAATTAAGGAAAATAAGTGGGGGTCAAAACATAATGAGAAACCCGGTACAACAATTTTTATATTAACTAATTAATATTTTTTAATATTTGGTATTTGGTAATATGTGGTATTCATCTATACCCCAGGAAACGAAGCCGACAAAACACTTGAAAAACCGAAAAATTACTCGACGCTATTTTCAAACTTAAATATCTGGGGAATACGTAGCATCTCGGGGTATTGAAATTTTTCTTGTGTCATGGTTTTTCATTAACATTTAAGCAAAAAAACGACTTATTTAATCTATTTCAATATTGTGATTAAAACGTTAATAAATATGGGACCAATCAATCGAGTAATTTTTAAATAATTCTATTTGTTTATCCCATTTGAGAGAAAAAAATTGTTCTCAAATGGTTGTACAGGTGCTTCGTCAATATGTAGAATCGTTTTTGGTCTCATTTTCTTTATAAAATCTCAAATTTTCATGTTTTTAAAAAAGTATATTAATTTTTAATTGTTTACTTTTAAATAATTGATGAAATATTTTAAATAAAAGAATGAAGTACCATTTTTGACCTTATAAACAATTAAATTATTAAAAATTAGTTATAATTATAATTAATTACAAAAAACACATCTTAAAAAAATAAAGAAGTTTGCTGGACCAATAGAACCAGGGATAATTTTGTTTATTTTTAATTTCACAGCAATTGTTGATACGCATTAAGAGCAGAAATCTTGGCAGGTTTGAAAACCACCAAATTTAACCAACTAATGGTAAAATTAATGATAAAAATCACAATTCCTGTAATAAGTTGTACTTCTGAGAAAATGTTTTCTAAGCTGAGCATATTAAAATCTATATTACGATTAACAATGCTACAAGACTATTTGGAATATCTAATAGTGCCTTTTCTCGAACAATAACTTGCTGTAAATAGAGATAAGGAAGAAGGGGTCCAGAAAGAAGAAAATGTTTCTGGTTGAAGAATGTAAGAGACTGGACAGGTATGGACACACATTCACACAGTAATGGAGAATTCACCTAAAGAAGAAGAAGAAGAAATATAGATAGTTGATGAATTTAAAAATCGTTTTACCCCAGCGACGAATGTGTTGTTATAATAAATTTTTAATGTCATCCATATTTCTCTTATGGTCAGGCAATAATTTAATTTAAAAACAAGCATAACTCGTTTCAAAAATTTACTGTTCCGACAAATAAATTTTAAATTTAAAAAATTATTTCAAAAAATTGTAAACTGATATATATGGGGGGCGATTTTCAGCATTGGAACCCACACTAAAAGGGCTACTAAAAGGCACTAAATACGCCACGCCTATTGCTCTATCGACAAATGTATAAGCGTCGTAAAAAATTTAATGAATCATCAGTTCCCGTTTTTTTTTTTTTCAAAGTTAAATATGCTTTTTGAAGGGCATAGTATTAAACATAATTAGTAATCCAATTAAATATTATACTTAACAGTTTATTTATAAAATTCACTAAAATATTAATATTGTTCTGAAGCTATTTTCTTGTGGCATTGTAAATTAATTACTATTTATAACTGGGAATAAGCCACAATTAAAGATAAAAATACGTTTATTGACGTTTCAATTTCCAATTCGGAAATCGTTCTCAAAATACAAACAGTAAATTTACTGTTTGTATTTTGAGAACGATTTCCGAATTGGAAATTGAAACGTCAATAAACGTATTTTTATCTTTAATTGTGGCTTATTCCCAGTTATAAATAGTAATATTAATATTGTTTTTTATATTTATTGTATACTAGATCTACAAAGTTTTCTTACAACTTTGTCAGCTAGTTTTTAAAATTAAAAAAGCTAGATAGAATTCTAGTTTATTTCAATTAAATATATGTAATAAACATAGGTATAAATAAATATATAAAATTTAAATAAATATTTAGTTTTTTAACTAGATTTCTTTTCACAATGAAACTAGATTAAATTTTTCCGCAATAGTGCTAAAATTTATAATTTGCCTAAAATTTTTAATTAAAATTTGAATTTATTCCTAATAAATATAGAAGAAAAATGTTTAATTCTGTTAATTACTCTCAATGTTAAAACCGAAACTTTAAAAAATATCTAGTTTTTCACTAATTTTCTTTCCAAATTATTATTTAAATTAAATTAAGTTTTCACGCAGTAGTGCTTAACTTAACCACTCAAAGGTACCACCTTACACATTAATCCAAATAAGAAGATGTAAAATAAAACTGAAAACACTCACTTTTTCAAAATACATAACTACAAAAACCCACTCACTGCCAAAACTCCAAACATTACTGTCTTTAAAAAATAAAGAAATAACTTTTATATTCCTATATTTAAAAGTGGGGTATTAACACATTTTTTTTCATCTTTTGAACATATCAACAAAGTAAACCAAACAAAAAAAGCAATAACCTATAATGAAAACCCATAACAAAACAATTGGTTGCTTGTGAGGAAAATCTTCCTACCGTGAAGATCAGAGATGGCCTTGCATTTTCCTTAATGGTCTGATGGGTTCAGGACCTCATAGATTGGTCACTTCATTTTTTAATAACCACGAGAATGTTTACGTACATCACTTGATTGTTTTAATGAATATAGTACGGAAGCTCGAAATCTGTTTTTAATGAGTTATATTACAGACGAATGCAAATCCCACGAAAAAAAATGTAAATAATAATTTTTTGTTTGTTAATTTGACAATATATCAGGGATTAAAAGAATCTAAAGCGAGTAAATTTAATATTATATAAATTAATGCATTAAAACTCATACAAGGACTTCTTCCCTTTGTTATGAAATATATTTCTTACGATTAATATATTGTTTGCTAGTTTTTTACAGATTCCACATCCCACTTTCTAAATATTAGATGCATTTCCGCACGCAGAAAAGGATAGTTATACATAATACTGAATAAAGTACTGAGACTCTTACTCAGTGGCGTATCTATACGACTAAAAGCTAGTTTTTATCAAACATATAAAAAGATGACAACATTGACTTAGTTCCTTACAGGAAACCCACTGCGAAACAGAGGAGCAACTACAAAAAAAGGGCAAAACACCGGGCTATAGACTATTAGGCGCAACTTACCATCGAACATACGGCACAGCCACATATGTCAAAGAAGATATTGAAAATGCTTCGCTAATCGCTACTTCCACTGATGACTGTATTTATAATATGGTCACAAAAATCGCTAGCATTACGGTGTCCAACATTTACAAACCACCTGCTACGTCTTGGACAGCCCAAGCAATTCAAGTACACCCTCACCCTGGTGTATACGTTGGAGATTACAATAGCCATCATGAACAGTGGAAGTACAAAAATAGTGATGCGAATGGGAATGCTTTAATAAAATGGGCAGAAGACGAATGCCTGTACCTTTTGTTTGATGCCAAAGATCGACCAACCTTCAGATCCGCGGCATGGAGGCGGGAATACAACCCCGACCTATGCTTCGTCTCGACCGACAACAAAGACTTACCTCTAGGGGCTTCACGAAGAGTTCTAACTGATTTCCCATACAGCCAACATCGACCAGTAATAATAGAAGTAGAGACGCAAATCCCTTTAATTACTTCTCTCCCACGTCCAAGATAGAACTTTAAAAAGGCCAACTGGATTGACTTCTCTGCCGATCTGGATAAATGCCTGGGGTGAATTACACCGAATATCAAAAACTACCACAGATTTGCTGGTACCGTGCTAAGGGTCGCCAAAAAACACATATCAAGAGGATAGCGCAAAGAATATATTTCTGGACGGTCGGAAAATAGCGAGGAAATATCAGAGCTTTCTTGAAACTGGCGATCAAAAAATAGCGGATGAACTACTGCACAGCCTAGATGCCGCTAGAAGCCAAAAGTGGACCGAAACAGTAGAAAGTCTAAACTTCCAGAAATCAAGCAGACAGACATGATCATTACTAAGAAAATTAAAAGCTAGATGCCGTAGCATTACATATAGTAAAAACATCCAGGGCACTAGAGGATAAAGCATACACCATCTACGTAAAGAGAGAACTTAAAACTTTAAAATATGTCGCCACAGAAACGGAGCATTCCCTCTGCTTCACCAGAGAAGACATATCGGAAGCTCTTAAAGACGTTAAGTCAGCAAAAGTACCAGGATTTGATAATATTCACCCTGAAGTCCACAGACATCATGGAAACTGGAAATATTCCACAAGAACTAAAGCGCTCTAAGATAATAGTCATACTAAAGCCAGGCAAACCAGCTGACAACCCAAAAAACTACAGACCAATTGCGCTTCTCTCTGCCATCTGCAAACTGTTAGAGAGGCTTATATATAATAGAATCAGTACAGAACTGTTCCAGGCGATCCCAGTCAAACAAGCGGGTTTTCGACCAGAACGAAGCTGCGCGGACCACGTAATGTCACTCACCTCCTACATCGAAGCGGGTTTCCAAAGAAGCGGTTTCAGCGGCATTTATTGATCTCTCGACAGCTTACGATACAGTATGAAGGGAGGACCTTATATACAAAATTCTCCGTGCAATACCCTGTAAACAAATAGCACGTTCAATAGATAGCATGCTCAACGACCGAATGTTTCAAGTAGTGATGGGCACAGATATCAACAAACCAAAGAAACGTAAGAATGGCCTACCACAGCGGTCAGTGCTCTCTCCATTACTATTTAGCTTATATTTAGCAGATATGCCGGAAACACAATCAAGAAAGTTCGGATACGCCGATGACTGGGCCCTCACTACACGATGCAGAACACTAGAAACGTCTGAAGAAGTTCTTATGGCAGACTTACATATATTGGGCAAATATTTTCGCAAGTGGCGACTTCAACCAAATGCATCCAAAACAGAAGTTAGTTGCTTTCATCTAAACAATAAACTTGCTGGAAAGGAACTCAACATACGGTTTGAAAATACCACACTTTCCCACAACAAAACACCGAAGTACCTGGGCGTAACACTAGACAGAACGCTATCATTTAAAGAGCATTTAACAAAAACTGCCCAAAAGTTGAGTACAAGAAATAACATTATACAGAAGCTCTGCGGTACCACCTGGGGACCATCGGCTTCCACTTTCCGCTCTACTGTCTTAGCCCTTGTTTTCCCTACCGCTGAATATTGTGCTCCAGTTTGGCTACACAGTCCACACGTAAAAAAGTTCGACACTTAGCTGCACAGCACTATGAGGCTTCCAGTATTAAGTTACATTCCACCTCCACATTTACGACGAGTTGACGCACTTGCACGTAAATACAAAAACATCATACAACGATATAAACCTGCCGATCCACCAAGATACCGAGGATGCACGAAATACCTGTATTCGTTCTAGAAAACCACCAATGAAAACGGCAAGAATGATACATGAGGAGGTACATGAAACGCATGGCAAAATGACATGCCCTGCATTACCCAGTCCACTCTAAATGGGCTCCGAACCAGACATGGTAGATGTACATACATATACATGCTACAAAAATGGGGAAAGAATCCGTCTCCTCAATATAACTGTGGGGAGAACCGAACGATCGACCACATTATTGAAGAGTGTCCCTCAAGATCCTACAATGAAGGTAGGCAACTTCCTGTTTGCAACTTCAAAGTCAATTGATTATATTAATGCACTTGATGTTTGTTTGTAACTACTCAAAGTTTGTCATATACCTATATTACTAGCGTTTGTAATTTTGTTCTAAATGTGTTTTAATTGCCATACGATAAATAAAGGTGCCAACTATATGTTGGTAGGATTGCGAAATGGCACACCCATATGGCCGGTGAGAGCCCCGGCCCCAAAGGCTGCGAGCTCAAAAGTGGCCTAACATTTTTAGCACAATTCACTAAAAAATATAAATTTTGGATATGATATACAGTATACTATAAAAATGTAATCAATTAAACTTAGCCACGACCACAGACCAATCTCGCATCTTGTTTACCGAGAAAGTACTTTTTTGCTGGTTTCGCGGTTTAGCGACACATGGTATTAGGGGAATTCGGGATTTGTATTTTCTATGATGAGTTTATGATCTGTTAACCACAATAAAAACAGCCAAAATCGAATACCTCGGTCACATCATGAGGAACAGCGAAAGATATGGACTGCTGCAACTAATCTTGCAGGGAAAAGTAGAAGGAAAACGGGGACCAGGAAGGCGAAGGATTTCCTGGCTGAAAAATCTACGAACGTGGTTCAACACAACAACCACAAATCTTTTTAGAGCAGCAGTGTGCAAAGTGCAGATTGCCATGATGGTCACCAACATCCGAAACGGATAGGCAGTACAAGAAGAAGATGATGAGTTTACTAATAAAAACAAGTGCTCTAAAAGTTAAGAATTGGACTTAACTAATCGTAATAATCTAGAAGATGTAGCAGCTGAACAATATTACATCTTTACCATATATCACTGAAGTGCAACTCTAAGGAACTAAATGATCAAGTGAACCCATTAGTGATCTAAAACCATGTTAGTTATTCACAGATCGGACATTAAAAAAAACAAAATGTTTGGATGAAAGGCTATAACGATTGGAAACCTGTTGTAGACGTCATAGAAAACACGAGACATCAAAAATTCATCTAAATTTTTGTCTTACGTACCAAGAATGGCGGTTACATGGAACACTAGATGAAGATTGAGTCCATAATCAGGACAAAAAATCTTTTTGGCGGCAAGCGCTCTCTAATCTAAATCTTTTAAGTAAACATACTGATTAGAGGAGAAAAAGAATGGAGAGAAGTATACTGTCTGATTTCTGGGGTTATGAAGAAGGAGGATGACAGTTTATAGCCCTAAATATTTTCATACTTTTAATTTCTCTTGTTAATAAGCAGTTCTTAAACAAATTGTTTCTGATTTATGGTGATAGGTATGGTTATAAGTTTTTCCCTAATACAATATAGTTATGTTTTAAGGTGACGGTTAATATATAGATTTGAAGAAAGTCTGAGCGTGAGTGGAGATGAATATCCAACTAGTAGTCCTACTAAGTGGATCCTACCAGATTTACATCCCACCGGCATACTCTGTTTGCCTGTTTTTATATATCAACAATGTTAATGGTCATTTAAGCTGTATTCTGCAAAATATCGTTTGTGATACACATTGTCCAGAAATAAACCAAGAAAGTTGATCACCGGTGATACATATGGTACATATGGGTATCACAACGCAAACTCACAACAGTATCATTGTAGCGAACCTTTTAACTTAAATCGTCAGAATATTTCTCAAGCTTTTA